TGATACCCTGTTGTGAAGGTCTTACTCAGAGCCGGCTGCAGTATTTGAAGTGGGGTTTCTCCAGTGCTATATCAGACAGGGCCTCCGCTCTCTGATCTGCACACAGCCCAGAATTGCAGGGGTCCTTATTTAATTTTGCTGCTCGGCTCCATTGCAGGCTCCTGTGTCATTTGCTGCCTGCTTTACTCCCTCCCACAGAGTATTTGTTTCTCATTCATTTTGCCAGGATGAATAAAGCTGGCTGGCTCTCATGTTATTAGTCCCTGATCACTTCGTCGCAGCTTGCCCCTGCTGTCCTCCTTCTCCCTCTCCTCTCTGATGATGTCAGCACCCCTCTCTCTTATTCTCACCTGTAAATTTAATTTAAGGTGATGTTTGGCTTCTTTTTCAGATCATTAGTGATACTCTTAAATAAAATCCCAGCCTCCTCCCAATTCCCACTGGACACCACTAGCCAATCAATACGCTGCTGTTTGTCATGGCCTTTTGTTTACAGTTCCGCCAGCTCCAATCCATGTGACTATTCCTCAGCTGAGCCAATGGGGGATTAATTTTTCAAGAAAGATCTCCTGGGACACAGCAGCAAATCTCCCTTCCCGTGGACCAGCATCCAGACAGCCTTGTGCTGTGTGATGATGTTTGAGCTCTCAAGCTAAACAGGATGGGGCTGGCTCAGGACTTGGATGGGAGATGTTCACGAAAAAAACCCGAGTGTTTGAGGAAGTAGTGTTGGCCATTCAGCAAGGGGTACTCTTTTTCCTCTTGGTCAGTAATGAGCCAACATCCCAGGGTGGTGCTAGGTCCTTTATAAACCACCCTAATGCTGCTTCTGTTCTCATCTGTTCTTCTGAAACTGTGATCCACTCCACATTTCCACATGGTCCACAGAGCTGCTTCCATGCCAGTGGAGAAGTGTCTGTCTGTCTCCTGCTGACTGTCGCACAGTCCAGGACACTCTTGGGGGTTTCCGTTTCTGACCAACTGAACTAAAAATCCCAAGCTCCTTTCTGCTCCTTGGTCTCCTGTATGGGTGTGTCAGGTGTTCCTTGGTTGGCTGTTTCTTTGGTATAAATATGACTGTGATCAGTGTTACAGATAACCACAGAATTGGAGGCAGGAAGAAAACTCCCAGGAAAATGGAGCCAAGCCAGAAAAGGGCCTGGCGAGATCGAAGCTGAGGAGAGGAAAGGCATGTAACAGGAGGGAAGGGGATTCAGTCTAATAAACGTGAACGCCTGCCACCAGGGAGAGGAAATAGAGCCCAGATACAGAATAGGGAACCATAACGCAGCAGCTGCCCCTGTGGCATTAAAGTGAGTTCATTTTCATCTTCTAACCATGCTTAGTAGGAGTTTATCCCCTAACTGGGTGCTCTAGCTGCCATAGGGAAGGGCACTGAAGTTACCAGATTGCTGGTGATTACACTGGGAGAGGGAGGAGTCCAAGTGCGAGGGAGAGGCTCTGAAGTGCTGCATTGTTGCATTCAAGGGCCCCTGCTGCAGTTCTGTTGTTTCTGTAGGGTTACAAGCTTGGGCTCACAGGGCAGCAATTGCCAGGATTGCTCTGCTCCCAGTGTCACATCATAGAATCACAGGGTTAGAAGGGACCACAAAGGTCATCTAGGCTACCCCCTGCCAAGATGCAGGATTTGCTGTGTCCAGGGCCGGCGCAACCCATTAGGCAACCTAGGTGGTCGCCTAGGGCGCTAACATTTGGGGGGCGGGGACTGCGGCGGCCAGATCTTCAGCCGCCCCAGTCATAGTCGGCATTTTGGGGGCTGGACCTTCCGCCGCCTAGGGCGGCAAAAAAGCTGACAGCGCTCCTGGCTGTATCTAAACCATTCTAGACAGATGGCTATCCAGCCTCCTTTTGAAAACCTCCAGTGAGCGTCCACAGCCTCCCTAGGCAGTTTCTTCCATTCTCCTACTGTTCTCACAGCTAGGAAGTTTTTTCTGAGATTTAATCTAAATCTGCTACGCTGTAGTTTGATCCCATTGCCTCTTGTTCCGCCCCGTGTGGCAAGAGAGAACAACTTTTCTCCATCTTTTTTATGGCAGCCTTTCAAGTATCATGTCCCCCCTCAATCTCTTCTCCAAACTAAACATACCCAGTTCCTTCAGCCTTTGCACATATGGCTTGTGTTCAATCCCTTTGATCATCTTTGTTGCTCACCTCTGGATCCTTTCCAGTCTCTCTACATCCTTTTAATACATTGGTGACTAAAACTGGACACAGTTCTCCAGCTGAGGCATAACCAGCGCTGAGTAGAGCAGTGCTATCCCCTCCCGTGACTGGCATGCTGTGCCTCTGTTAATGCAGCCCACATTGCGTTTGCTTTTTTTGCAGCAGCATTGCATTGCTGACTCCTGTTGAGGTTGTGATCCACCACAACTCCCAGATCCTTCTCTGCAGTGCTGCTGCCAAGCCAGTTCTCCCCCATTTTGTATTCATGCATTTGGTTTTTCTTCCCTATGTATAGCACCTTACATGTGTCTTTGTTGAATTTCATTTTGTTGTCTATAGTCCAGTTCTCCAATTTATCAAGATTCATCTACATTTTAGCTCTGTCCTCCAAAATATTGGCAACCCCCCATCAGTTTTGTGTCACCTGCAAATTTGATCAGTATGCTCTCTATTCCTACATCCAGGTCATTAATAAAGATGTTAAACAACACGGGACCCAGAGCAGATCCCTGTGGAACCCCACTTGAGACCTCTCTCCAATCTGCCATCATTCCATTTATAGCTATTCTTTGTTGCGGTTGTTTAACCAATTGTGTATCCACTTACTGGTAGATCTGCCAAGCCCGCATTTCTCCAGCACACTTATCAAAATGTCATGTGGGACCGTGTCAAAAGCCTTGCTGAAGCCCAGGTATGAATATGTCCACTGCATTCCCGCTGTCCACCAAACCAGTTACCCTGTCAAAGAAGGAAATCAAGCAGGTTTGACATGATTTGTTCTTGGTGAATCCATGCTGGTTGCTTGTGATTACCCCTTCATCCTTCAGGTATTCACAAATTGAATGTTTTTTACATTGCTCTAGTAGCTTCCCAGGTATCAATGTCTGGCTGACTGGTCTATAGCTCCCCAGCTCCTCTTTTCCCCCCTTTTAAAGATGGGCACTACATTAGCCCTTCTTCAGTCTTCCAGGACCTCTCCTCTCATCCATGAGTTTGCAAATATTGTTGCCAATGGCTCCGAGTTTCTTCAGCTAATTCCTTCAGCACCCTGGGGTGAATAGCATCAGGCCCTGCTGATTTATGTAGTAGTGATCAATGGCTCCATGTCTAGTTGGCAGCCGGTTTCAAGCG